GAGCACTTGGCTCCGGGTCAGGCCTCTGAAAACTGGCCCCAGACTTTACAACTAATTGGGCTTTACTATGGTTTACCTCTTTAGTAATCAAAAAGTCTCCAAAATGTTCAAAAGGAGATAAACTAGACAAAAATATCCTTTAGGCTGTAAAATGTCTGCCTGGTTTATTAAACAATACAATTTGACCATTTTTTATTTTAAAATACAAAATCAATCTGGACATGTCCTTAGAGAAATTGATTTATTTTTCATCTTTCAGATACCAAAATAATCAAGTGGCAAAAAAAAAAAAAAAGAAAAAAAAAGAAAAAGAAAAAGGAAAAAAGGAAAAAAGGGCAAAAAACGAAAGGGAAAAAGAAGAAAAAAGAAAGGAAATAGCAGGCTGCTGAATAGAGGAAAAGCTTCAGAAAGGACTGTTTTTTGAGGCTGTGATCATTAAATGACACCTGCTCTCTGTCGCTATAAACTAAGCTATTAATATTATCTATTAATATTATCAGCTGACATTTACTGAGAATTTGCTACACGCAGGGAACTTTAAGTTACATGGATTGTCACACTTAATCCACAAACTTTATGAGGTAGGTGCTATTATCTCCTGTTTTCAGATGAGGAGAACAAGGGGTAAAAACGGTTAAGTAATCTGACCCATATCACTTTTCCAGTACAAAGTAGGGCTGGGATATTAACTTGGAAGGAGTCTTAACTCCAAAGTCTATGGATCAACCGCAGTGCTCTAGTGCTCCCGGCGGAGCGTTAACCCTCTCTGCCACCATTCAATTCTGGGGATAAGGGGGGCCATCACGTACAGTTCTTCAGGTTGTGCACTGTGTCAGCATGCCACAGCTAAGGGGATGCCATTTCCATGGTACATGTATTCTAGCTTATAGGAGAGGCTACAGGTGTCGATGAAGATCTGGGCTGTCTAACCACGTCCTGGGATAGTGGCACACACCGCTCCGCACACAGTAACTGGCACACACACGTGCCGAAGACCACCTCGGCCCCGCCACACCCTGGACATCCTACAGTAATGCTTCTTTTCCTCTCTTATTTGCTGTCAGTGACCCAAATCCTACCCACAATCTATCTCCAAACCTGGAAGGGGGAATGCATAGGTAATACGTGCTGCCATCTATGGTCACGGCGCAACAATATATCAACGGCCTTGATTTTTCTAAAGAAGAAGTGCCCTTTTTCACTGGCCTACGGGTACTACGGTGCCCATCAGGGGCCCTGGTGAGAGTCCCTCACTGGAGTCTACAGCACCTCCATCCCTTGGAGCATCTTAGTTGTCATTTGAATGTCAGTTTAAAACGAACAGAGGTGGGATCCCTGGGTGGCTCAGCGGTTTAGCTCCTGCCTTCAGCCCAGGGCGTGATCCTGGAGACCTGGGATAGAGTCCCAACGTCGGGCTCCCTGCATGGGGCCTGCTTCTCCCTCTGCCTGTCTCTCTCTCTCTCTCTCTCTCTCTCTCTCTCTCTCTCTCTTTCTCTATCATGAATAAATAAAAAATAAATAAATAAAACCAACAGAGGTAGGCATTACATCTTTTAAGAGGAAGTGAACGCACCCCTGATGTGTTTTCCAAAGCGACATATTGGGGTGTTTTTAAGCATGTTGTCCTCCTGGATGGGCCACCACTTGTCAGTGCTGTCTTTCCATGGAGCCCGTCTCATTTTCTGTATTGTGCTCGCTCTGGAGCATGAATCGGGGACTACCAGGCACGCAGTTGACCTGGAGCCCGTGACCCAAACTGGCTCTCCCTGGTGGCCGAAGGGGCCAGGCCAGCAGAAGGCCCCCGCTGTCCAGCCAGCCTACAGGGGAATTCCTCTCCCAAATTTTCTCCCCTCCCCAGATTGTTGGTTGCATTACTTATCCTGAAGGGGCCAGTTACACTGGGGCATCCTGAAAGATCAGGATGGGGCCTTGGGCCGGAGGGGTAACGAGAGGTTGGAGAATGTAGATCCTTGACACCACGGTGGAAAAGTTCTGCAAGACTAAGTGACAGCGAGGACCACAAGGACCGGCTCCTTCCTAGACCTAGAAGCCGAGTCTCGGGGTGAAGCGACTTGCTGCAGGTGTGGAGCGGCGGGGGGCAGAGAGAGCCCCTCTGGCACTTGGAGCTTCCAGTGCAGCTCCAGCTGCTTTCCAGCCCCTGGTGCTACCTTCTCAGTGTCAAGGTTAAGGAGAAGAAGCTAGACGGTGTTCCAACACCAGCATCTCAAAAAGACAGACAGACAGACAGAGGAGAGTCCGGGTGGGTCTTATCTCTGGACTGAGATGGCTGCAGAAGCCTCAGCTAAGCCAGGAGGACAGGTGAGCCTTGGCTTTGTCCCCGGAGGCTGGGGTCCTGTCTCCCCGGGGAGGGATGGTGACTCGCAGCAGCAAGTCTCACGTGTGCAGTGGGGGGCCCTTCCCGGGGCACGTAGGACCCACACATGTCACAAAGAGCTCTGGAGCAGGATGCATTGCTCTAGGTCTTTCTATGGTTCAATCAGCCACAGGCAGGGCCAGAGCTCCTGAGTCCTGCTTCTGGGCTGCACTACCAGATGTGGGCTCCTTGGCTTTCGCGTCGGCTGTCCCCAGAGGCAGGGAACAGGAGAGAAGTGGCCTGGGGGGACCAGAGGAGGGGGGCAGTGGGGATTTGGGGCGCAGTCTCCCCGGCCATGCTGGAGATGGGGTAGATGCGCTTCCCGGCAGGACAGGACGGGGCCCGAGAGCCCCCACCCTGGCCCTCATCCCAATCCCAAGGTGCTGGGCGTTACTCGGAGGCCTGCAGCCCCAGGCTGCTGAGCTGGGGCTCCCGGTATTCCGGAGAAAGGCTTTCGGAGGTCACGGGCGGGGCGGGTGCCTGGGCGCACTTCCTGCAGTGCTCCCCTGCCAGCCTCCAGTCAAGGCCGAAAACCCGGAGGCGCTTATCTCGGTCCGAGCTTCCTCATTGCCCCTCGGGGCAGGTGCCTTTGCTCCTGAGCCTGGAGATTGCTGCCTCCCCACACTGGGTGGGGGGAAAGGGGGGGCAGACTTTGGCCTCAGCCGCCGAGTCAGCACCCAGCGTGCTAGAAAAACTTCGCTCCAAGGGACCTGGGCTTGGTGGGCGGTAATCAAACAGCAGATTAGGGCAGCACACCTGGCAGAGGCCGCCGGGGAGGCAGGCGGCCAGCAGCCCGCGGGCAGGCGGGGGCCTCTTCCAGGGCCGCCCCCTTGGGGCTCCCTCGGGGCCAGCCCAGGTCTCCAGCGACCCCCCTGCTCTCGACCACCACCCCCGCCCCATCTCCTTAGGGCCTCCCCCCCATTCCCTCCCCTCCTCCCCGACTCTGGCTGGGCCCTGGGGAGGTGACGGTCCCCTGCCAGGGCCAGACCGCTGATGTGCACCTGTTCTCAACCTTAGTGAGGTAGGGACAAGAGGGGGAAGGACCCCAGGACAGCCAGCTCCCTCCTCCCTCCCTCCCTTCCTTCCTCCCTTCTTCTCTCCTTCCTCCCTTCCTCTCTCCTCCTTCCCTTCCTTCCTCCCTTCCTCTCTCCTTCCTCCCTTCCTCTCTCCTCCTTCCCTCCCTCCCTCCCTTCCTCCCCCCTTCCTCCCTTCCTCTCTCCTTCCTTCCTCCCCTCCTTTGCTCCTTCCTCCCTCCCTTCCTCTTTCCTCCCTCCCTCCCTCCCTCCCTCCCTCCCTTCCTCCCTTCCTCTCTCCTTCCTCCCTCCCTTCCTTTCTCCTTCCTCCCTCCCTTCCTCCCTTCCTCTCTCCCTTCCTCCCTTCCTCCCTCCCTCCCTTCCTCCCTCCTTCCCTTCCTTCCTTCCTACCCTCCCTCCCTCCTTCCTTCCTACCCTCCTTCCCTCCTTCCTTCCCTCCCTTCCTTCCCCCTTCCTCCCTTCCTTCCCCCTTCCTCCCTTCCTCCCTTCCTTCCTTCCTTCCTTCCTTCCTTCCTTCCTTCCTTCCTCTCTCCTCCCTCCTTCCCTTCCTTTCCTCCTTCCTCCCTTCCTCTCTCCTTCCTCCCTCCCTTCCTCCCTTCCTTCCTCTAGGTCCCAAGAACCGCAGGCAGTACATAGATTTCAAGCACAGATTTGGGATCCGTCAGAAAGCAACCGTGAAAACCCTAGGGGAACTCGGATGAAGCAGGCATTTCTAATCAGCACGCGATGAAGGCCGACCGGGTGGGGACGGGCAGGGCGTCTGTCGCAGGAGTGGTCAGTCCCGCTCCGAGAGCCCGCGGTGCCCCCACACCCTGTGGCCTCCTGTCCCAGAGCCGTGGGGTAGAGGGGTGACACACACAGGCCCACCCTCGAGTCTCCGGTGGGGGAGATCACAGCTTTGGCCCAGGGGACAGGGAGGGCTTTCTAGAAGTCCTGGAGAAGAAAGGGAATGAACTAGGGCCCTTGTGCAATTGCTCGTCCCGTGAGCCAATGTTTAAGTCCTTGTGACTGACCGGAGGCACCCCGCCAGCAAAGCAGCAGGCTCCCCTTGAGGGAATCAGCTCTTCTTCGGCCAAAAAGAAGGGGTGGGGGGGGCGGGAGCTGCTCGGTCCCTGCACACTGCCCGCGCCCCTGGCACAGTCGAGTTCCAGTTGCACAACGGCCCCCTGACGCACTTGCTCGTTCCCCGGGCCAGGAACCCAGCCCGCGAGGCCCCACCACCCAGCCTGGGTCCAAACTGCAAGCCTGTAGCCTTTCCGCGACACAAGGCTCCCCCGGATTCCCAGCTCCACCGCGTGGGTGCAGGGGCTGGGATCCTACAGAGGGAGCCCCCGCCCTGCTGAACACAGAGACCCCAAGGGCAGGGACACTGGAGCCTGGTGATGGGGCCCCAGGCCAAACACACATGCTTCGGAGTGCGGTGGAGTCCACGTCCTGCACTTGGTTAGGCACGGCCCACCCAGCACCACACTGCGCCAGCGGACGTCCTGGAGTGAGAGAGGGCTCACCCCAGGTCTCCCTGCTGCTCACCCCAGCTTCTCACTGGTCCCCCTCAGGCTTCTTCAACTATAGTGCTTTCTTTGCAGGTCACCAACCGGAGGGCAGGATGGAAAATGCCCGTCCTCCTCATGGTGTGCCTATTGCAAGGTGAGACCCCAACACAGCCCTGTTCAGAGCTTACAAAACCAGCCCCGTGGCTTCCAGGCCGCAGGGATGCACGGCAGCTCCCTCGGCAGTCCGGGCCTACCCCTGGCCTTCCCTCCTGGGACCCCAGGCCATGCAAGATCCAGGGGGTGGTCAGGTCTGGCTCCAGGGAGAATGAGACAGGCAAGAGCTCCCCAGAGAGGGCATATGCCTGCTTTGGTCATTCCCAGAATAATCACTGTTTTGACATTTCCCAGTGTCTCTGCTCTCTTCTATTCAAATTGCTGACTGAAAGTCAGCTGTGTTTGCAAGATAAGGGGTCCAGGGCATGAAGGCAACAGATGGAAGGTGCGCTGCTTGTTCCCACTCATTTGAAAAACAGGGATCCCGGGTGGCTCAGCGGTTTGGCGCCTGCCTTTGGCCCAGGGCTTGATCCTGGAGTCCTGGGATCGAGTCCAGCATCGGGCTCCCTGCATGGAGCCTGCTTCTCCCTCTGCCTGTGTCTCTGCCTCTCTCTCTCTCTCTCTGTCTATCATGAATAAATAAATAAAACCTTAAAAAAAAAAAAAAAGAAAGAAAAACAGCACCAGGCCCAATACTGGGGACTTCGAGATGCAGACCTGCCCCACCCCAAAGTGCTGAGTCTACTAAGAAGCTAGGTGGGTAGATGATATTACATCTCTGCATCCACTGGTTTAGTCAATACACATCCACGGAGGGCCGACGACACGCCAGCCACAGCGACAGTGGGGGGAAGACAGCCCTTGCCCTCCGGGTCCTGGCAGGCTGGTGTGGGGAGGCTGGATAGATCAAGGCTCAGATGACACATTAGCCCTGTCTCTGTGCTGCGGTGTCTAGATTTTTTTTTTTTAGATTTTATTTATTTATTCATGAGAGACACAGAGAGAGAGGCAGAGGCACAGGCAGAGGGAGAAGCAGGCTCCCCATGGGGAGCCGGATGTGGGACCCGATCCTGGGACTCCAGGATCACCACCCCCTGAACCAAAGGCAGATGCTCAACTGCTGAGCCTCCCAGGCACCCCTGGTGTCTAGATTTTGTTTTAATGGTAATGGGGAACCCTTGAGAAATGTAGTGACTGTTTGCCCAGAGCGTCTGGTACCTAAAACCTAGTCCTGAGTACACGCTGAACAAATAACCATTGAATGAATGAATAAAAAAATGCTCTGGTAATACAAAAAAAAAAGGTTTAATAATTATGTTTGGCCTATAAACAAATCAGAATTTTCAGGAAACGAAGGTTCATTTTGAGCGAGGACTCTCTGTGATATAATCATCCCATCTCTTTATTTCAATCTCCCGCGCGCCCCCCTTTAAAATTTCTCAGTAGAAGGCAGGCATCCCCCTGCCCCCAAATGAAAACTCAGGCAGGCCCGTGATTTTTCTGCTAACAAGTTAACGTAGGTAAGAGTCCTGACTTAATTCCTCTAGGTCTCAAATCTGAATTTGATACTTTAAAGGATGTAGTTAAATGTTTTGGTCGGGACTTCAATCTTTCTTCAAAGACAAGCCCCCTCATCCACCCAAGGCCTGCGGTCAGGAGGCAGTGCAGGGGACGTGGTGACTGTCTACTCTGTTCCTCTCTCCCCTCTCGTCCCCATGTTGGGACCCCAGTAGGGTCACAGGAGCAAAAAGGGAGGAGAGGCAGGAGGCAGGGAGCTCTTACTCCATGGGGGGGCCTCCAGCAATCTGGCCTGGCAGGGAGTTTAGAGCTGGCTCTGCCTCTCGTGGGTGCATTTGTGAACTTAGAAGGCCCCCTGATGGTCCATCTCCTCCCTTTGCCCCAGGTTCTGCTTTGACCCCTCCACACAGAAGACCCCATTTCAGATGCCTGCGGAATGGCCCTGTCCCCTCCAGGGCCCACCTCTGGGCTAATGAATCACTCACTCCTTTCTCGCCCCTCTGCCTGATGGAGGAGACATCCATCGCAGGTGCAACCCCTCTCCCTCTGCCCTGCCTCAGACCTCTCCTGCCCTCTCAGACCAAGTCTGTCTCCAATCCCTGGCCTCCCTCCATCTGCCGGCCCCCCTCGCTCTTCCTCAGGGGGAGCCATAGCCACAGACAGACAACCGCAGGGAAATGATGGGGGGAATGAACGCAGGGCACCCTAGGGGGCACCACATTCATCCTAAAATGCTAGCCCTTTCCTTAATTCCCACAGGTGACTAATAAAAAATTCCAAATTACTTAGAATACCTGCCAAATATATTCCAAATTATATATAATATAATATATATACATACACATTAGTTACATATAACTAAGAGCTACTGATCAGTAATCCATAAAATGAGTCTCAAGGGCAAGGACAATTTGGTATTAATAAAAGAAAAAAATGTTCATTGCGAGAGCTCATTTAGAATTCCTTTTCAAAATATTTTATTTATTTATTTGACAGAGAGAGAGACAGGGAGGCCATAAGCAGGGGGAGCTGCAGAGGCAGACAGAGAAGCAGGCTCCCTGCTGAGCAGGGTGCCCGACACACGGGGCTCGAACCCAGGACCATGGGGTCATGACCTGAGCTGAAGGCAGACAGACGCTTTACCATCTGAGCCACCAGGTGCCCCCCATTAAGGATTCTCAATCAGCTTTCTCCTGAGCAGTCAGACTGCCCCATCCTGTTGACTAATGGGGCAGAGAGGCTCTCGTGTGTGCGCCCCGTAGGTCGTAAGAATTCCCGAAGCTTAGGGTGTGAGCACTTACTCAGGGCCCCATCACGCTGTCCCAAGACGGTCCTTGTTTGTAATCCTGAAAATTCTCTCAATGACAAATTGCCATTTAGCTTTACTGATCGTGGCCTAGTTGGACGTACGTCACTTAATTAAAACTACAGTGAGAACATTGCTACAGTCGTGGCACGTACGGCCTTGAGTCTCCCTATAATTAGACCTCAAGACATGCAGCAGGCAGGCCAGCTCCGTGAGCGCGTGCCCTATGCATCACAAGGGCTCCAGCCTCAGAAGACCCCTGGTTTACTGCCCTGCTATTACCATAAAGGACGGGGGTTAATAGCCTCCGAACAGCGGGGTCCTGCATTTCCCTTTTGCACTGGGCTTTGCAATTCTGTAGCCAGTTCTGGCCACAGGATATTATTAAGCTTAGATATTAAACTGAGCCTTCTTGGGGTGCCTGGGGAGCTCAGTCGGTTGAATGTCTACCTTCGACTTGGGTCATGATCTTGGGGTCCCAGGATTGAGCCCCAATTCGGGCTCCCTGCTCGGTGGGGAGCCTACTTCTCCCTCTCTCTGCCCTTCCCCCTAATGGTGCGTGCTCTCTCTCTCTCTCTCTGTGTCAAATAAATACAATCTTTAAAAACAAACAAAAACCGAGCCTTCTTGGCTTCAGAGGCCCTAGAGACATAGAACAAATTGATAGATGCCAGGCACCGACATCCCAAAGCAAGATATTTAACAGCCTGTGTAGGATTGTGGGGAGAGATGGCACAGCTGGTTGTGCGAGCAACAGCCCCCCCCCCCCCCAGCCATCTGAGGAATCCTGAGAGGGTGGCCACACTCCCTGTAAGAGCTGTTTTGGAGACAGATGTCAGCATGTTGTGCTCTCCTCCACCTGCCCCCTCCCCACCCCCAGGAGACAGACAGGAGGGCTTACTTCCCCCTTCACATTCAGTCCAGCAAGAGAAGGAAACTTGTAGAAAGGTACGCAACACGCTGTCCCATGTCCCAGCTTCTCTGGACAGCAGGACAAAACTATGCTTCCTGTGACCAAATGTGGCACCTACGAAAAGAGCTGGCGTGAGGACTCCACTACAAAGGCCCCCCAGAAGGGACCATGACCACAAAAGGAAGGGCGGGTGGCCAGAAGCCATAGGTTTGGTGGAGGTGGAGGAGGCCCAAAGGCCAGCAGGACAGGCACTTCTTACAAGAAAGGAACAGCAGCCAGAGAGCATGGGAAAGTCTGGGAGGCCAAAGTCCCAGGAAGGGCCCTGGACATCCGTGTGCCCAGAGAGCAAGGCGAACAGCCCACAACTGTCCCCCACCTTCCCCTATGCCCCTCCGTATGCGATCCCCGAGGGGCCTACACCGCGATTTTGAACAGAGGAAGGAGGAGCGCGGAGAGCTTGGAGTTGCAACCGGTCATTGCACTGCCCTGGAGATGCCATTCTCGGCCGGACCAGACTTTTTCCTCTCCGGGTGAGACCACAGAACCTACTGTCCCCAAAAGGATGCCTGAGATGCGTGAAGGAGCGGAGCCAATATGAAGAGACAGTGAAAGGACAAGCTTTGCTTCTGCCCGCACCGGGTCAAGTTCGTGCCATTCGGTAGACAGGCCGCAGCCTGGGTCAGGCGTGATTTATGCCACTTGCCAGAGCAGACATGGTCCCAGTCTGCGCTTTGATGGGGGCAGGTGATGGTGACATTTCTACAGAAGAGTGCCGGGAGCGAACATTTTTCGATCCTGGGTCTGGGGACGGCCCCCCACCAGGGGGACCTGGATTCTTGTGTGTAGGGCACCCTCCCCTCTCAGAGGAAAGCGCCCCAGCCTCCCTTACCTGCGTACCCTCTCTCTTCTGCGGTCCCGCAAACCCACCACAGACCTGCACATGTTGCCGCAGGCTCTGGGTGGACTTGTGTGACCACACCTGGCACCTGGCACAGGACAGGTGCTGGCTAATAGCTGGTAAGAGTATCCTTGCATTTCTGTGTCTCAGATGGGGCCTTGGATGCAGCTCCATTCCATATCTTGGGGTGCTCCGGACCCAGGGGCTAAGCTCTGACATGTCCATATTGATTCTTCTTTCTTCACTTTCATGAGGCCATTTTCCAACCTGTCCCCTCATCCCGGCAGAGCGCGGAGCTCGTGACTCCCCAAACGGTGACCACTCTCAACGCCCCCTTTCCTCTGACTTTTTCCCCCTCTCTCTGCCTGCAGCTGCAGGTGCATTGAAGGGCCCAAGGCTGGTGTCCGGGGAGCCTGGGGGAGCTGTCACCATCCGGTGCCACTATGCCCCCTTGACCATCAACATGCACGACAGGAAGTACTGGTGTCGCCTAAGCCCCGTGACACACATCTGCCACACCATCGTGTCCACCACCCGCTACACTCACCTGCGCTACCGCGGCCGCGTGGCTCTCGCTGACTTCCCGCGGAGAAGCTTGTTTGTGGTGACGCTGGCCCAGCTGTCCCCGGATGACGTGGGGCGCTACCGCTGTGGCATTGGAAACACGAACAACATGTTCTTCTTTAGCATGAACCTGACCATCTCCGCAGGTACGCGCTCACGGCTGGCGGGTCAAGTCCGGTGGAGAGAGTGCAGGGAAGGTGCAGGTGCAGGAGACACTGCACGGGTCCAAGAGGGCTTTGCCCCCGCACCCCGGGGGGGGGGTGATGAGGAAAAGCTGGGGGTAAGGCAAGACCTCTAGGAAGCAGGCTTTCATTTCAGAGAGAAATCACCTTCAGAAGGAAGGTAGATATTGAGAAACCCTTCCCAGCGGAACGCAGGGGGGCCATCCCACCCGAGCTCCCCCACGGCTCGTGGCAGGCGTATTTGGACAGGACTCGAGAAGGGAGTGAATCGGATAATTCGGCCGCTTGGGCTCACGATGTCTCTTTGTTCAGACAAGCAGAGCAGGTGAGACACGAGCACGGAAGAGGCTCTTCCTGAGACCGAGCCCCTGAGCAGACGTCTGGCGCCTCCCAGGTCCATGCTCTGCGTGGAAGGTTCCAGAGAAGTGACCTGGAGCTGGGAACCCAGGGTCCACGGAAAGGCGCCCAGGCGGTGGCAGCCCCCGGGAGGGGGCATGGCAGGGAGGGGGCAGTGCCTGGGACCGCACTTGCCTAAGCATCTGGCGAGAGCCCCACGTGGCGGGCTGGGGCCCAGGGGCTGCCGGACGGCTCGGGAGGGCGTGTGTGGGCACCACACGAGGAGGAAGGACCAAAGCACGTCAATGTTTGCAACAGGCTAGAGAAGACACCTGGTTTTCCCTAATTTTTTTTATCCTATCCCACATATTGAGCAAAGGCTGTTGCTTCGTGAGGCCGCGTTCCTCGGAGTGAACACGTTAGGCCTGGCGCCCTTCGGTGACTCCTGTGGGCAGCCGGGGTAGCCTTCCCATGGGGTGTCCCCCTGCCGTTCGCAGGCCCTTCCGGCTCCATCCCCACGGCCACTCCGGCTGCCACTGAGCTCGTCACGGGATCCTTTGGAACAGCATCACCAGCGGCCAACAGACGCACCCCGGGAGCCACCCAGACCATAGGAAGACAGGGGACAGGATGGGCCGGAGTTGCTGGGACTCCAGAAACAACAGCTGAGGGAAGGCAGACCCTGGGAACAACGGGGGCAGGAGCTCTAGGGACGGGCAGCCAGGGAGCAGCCTCCGTCTGGGCAACGGTCCCCATTCCAGAGAGTCCGGCTTCAGCGATCGGAGGCGTGTCCGATACAACAGAAGATGTTTGGGTGTGGGACCCCAGAGGCTCGGTAGCCAACAGGGCTCGGCCCAGCGAGGAATGGGGGGAGACAACTACTGAGGCCGATGGAGCAGAGGAAGAAACAGAGAGGGTCAGAACAGCCCCGGATGTAGCTGCGAAGGTCACAGGGACCAGTAGGCCATCAACTCTGGTCTCCGATAAATGGGTGCAGGGAATCCTTCGAGAAGCAACAACTGTTTCTGAGCCACAAGCCCTGGGCTCCATTGAAGGAACTGCTCCAGCTGCAGGTGTGTGGACCCTGGGACCCACCAGCAGAGAGATGGCATCCGAGCAAGGAGCCACCCAAGGGGACCTAGACAGGCCTGCAGGAGACAGCGATCCCCAAGCCACACCGAGCCAGGCCCCAGCTGCTGGGTCCATGAGGCCCTTGGGCAAGGGGTCCCCCATGAAGAGGTAAACTCCCAGACCCTCGTCTCGGCTGTGCCCTGCCCCACTTTCTGCATGCTCCTCTGTGGCCTGACCTCTGTGCCCCCCTCCATCTGCTCACTCCTCTTTGTAAGCCCAGGACAGCGAAGGGCAAGGACCATCAAAATCGCAGACCCTCCCTTGCCTGTTCAAGGGTCCTTGCTAAGAAACCCCGAGTATTGTCATGTGGTTCTCAAGTAAAATATAAACATTAGGAAAACAGACTATTTAGGTGGAACCTTTGGGACTTTTTTAAAAGATGAGGAACAAAAAAATCTAGACATGGGAGGTCCTTGCTGAAGCCACAAGGAAAGATTGTGGTGGAGCCAAATGCCCAGGGTAGATTCCCTGACTCACTCAGCGGTTTCCCACTGGGGCACATGGTGGGGCCTGTACCCCGGCAGGGCAGACAGTAGTGACAGGGATGCAGGGCTTGGGAACCTGAGGGCGGGGTTCTGGTCCCAGCTCTTCTACTAACCTGCTGTGGGAATGAGGGCAGCCCACCTCCCCCACCTCAGCTTCTCACCTGTAAAGTGAGCGGCGAGGGTCAAATGCCCTTCAGTCTCCCGTCCAACTCCAACCTCCACTCCCCTGTGCTCTTTCCACATCTCCCCCCCCCCCCCCCCCCCGCCACCGGCTACATCTACTCCAGCGCTACTCCAGGAGAGAAAAACAAATCTTCTTGGATCCTGATTCCGGTATCTATGCTGTTCCCCGTTACGCTTGTGGCTCTTGGCCTACTGCAAAAGAAGCTCCAGAGAAAGAGGATGAGTGAGTTGAGTTGCAGTAGCCCCCCAGGGTGGGGGTGGGGGTGCAGGGAGTGCTTGTTCCCATCTGACACCTCGGGACTGGGTGGGGTCAGGGTTGATGCCAGGACCTCTGGATGTAGAAATGCTAAATTCTCTTCTGAGCCATCGAACCACTCCTGGTTTATCAATAAAATGGGGAAACCATCTCTGTACGTATGCCTCAGCGACCGCCCAGGGCTGAAGGAGAAGCTCTTCAGGGGATGGCAAGACATATGCTACCGGTAGGCATGCGTGCCACAAGAGCAATCCCAGCAGCAGGTAGCAGCAGGGCTGGGATCAGATGCGGGATCAGATGCGGGAGCAGACGGCACTTGCGCCCCCTACACCGTCTAGCTGGGCTTCTCTTCCAGCCCAGTTTTAAATGCTCGTAAAAATGAGGGCTCCATGGTGTTTAGCGCTTCTGAAGAGAGGGTGAGATTTCTGGGAGCAAGTGCAAGAGGCTAAGTTGATCACACCCAGGACCCCAAAGGTCTGGCCCAACCCCTTTCAATCTAAGGGTTCAATTGCAACTCTTCTGGTGTCAGGAGTTTCCCAAAGTCTGTGGGGGTTGGGGGCCGGGGTTCCCAGGGAATCAAATTCAGTCCCCAGTCCCCTCACAGCATCCTCTGTATGTGTGCAGCTCAGGAGACAGAGAGGACTGCAGGGGTCACCTTGATTCAGATGACATATTTCCTGGAACTGAGCCTCCAGCCAGACCAGCTGCCTCTCATAGAAAGGAGGATGCTCCGGGGTGACTGTCCTCCCCAGGCCAGTCTGACAGTCCCGGAGAGGCACCCCGGACCCCGGGGAATAGAAGAGTAAGCAGCTCAGTCACCATGGGAGGAGAACCAGGACCAAACACCGTAACTTCAGCCTTTTCTCATCCTTCCTCCACCTGCATGAAGGGGAGCTAATGGAGCTGGGGCGTCATCTGGGGAGGCAGGGGCTAGCCATCCCTGGGCCTAGGAAGGTCGAGCATTTCCCGCAGCCAAAGGTGATGCTTGACTCAAAAGAGGCTTCAAGAAAGGATTTATTAAACCCTGGTGGAGGTCCCCTGGGAAAGTGGGATTTCCATACCTGGGGATTTGATAATAGAAGAGGCTGCCAATTGCTGTGACATCTTAGGCATCACTCCTAGCCCTCGCTAGCTGCCCTCTTTCTTGAGGTCTGTTAGCACTCGACCTGCTGCACACATTTAATCATATTCATGTACACGAGGCTGCCTTCTCAAGTACATCCTAAGCTCCTTTAGAGCAGTAATCATGTTGGATCCGCCTCACTGTGTCCCCAGACAACTTCCAAGTCAGTGGGGGGGGTCCCAGTAAATATTTGTGACTGAAGGGCTGACCGGAGGGCATGGGCTCAGGGGCCTCTGAGATACTCTGAGCGCCCCCCCCCCACTTGGAAGTTCCCCTGGTTGACTCCACCAGCAGGTGCTTTCTCCATGGAAACCAAAAAGAACAACCCCCATTCCTCAAATCATTCCTTCCCAGGAGCCCTCACTCATTATGCTCTAGACCTTTTGACCCAGGCAAGATTTTCTGGGGTTTTCCTAAATTCATGGATGAGGAGGGTGTTTTTCAGTAGATCCTCACCTTGTTCATAAAGCTCCACTTGTTCAACTGCTTATAAATCTTTGATATCAAGGACTGTTGATAAAGCTGAGATATGGTCATTTTAGGGGGAGGGAGGTGTTAACAGAGAAGGTGGCCAGAAGGAATTTTATGTGGATTCTGCTTTATGACCACTTCATCCCATGCCTATTGGGGAACTTGCCCTCTACCCTTGGTCCCACGGCTCTTTTATTTTGTCAAATCTGTTAATCAGCTGTCTGAGCTTCATGTTTGGGCAAAGCAGCCTTTGAGGCTTGGAAGAGAAAGAGAAGAAAGACTCTGATATCGAGTTGAGAATTGTCGGGTCGACATTTTCCAGAAGAATCAGCCCTGCCTCCTCCCATGCTGTCAGCCACAGTAGAAACCCTTCATTAATACCTCCTCGCAGCTGGTACTGAGCACAGACACTGTCCCCAGAAAATCATGGCGGTTTGGTCTTTAAGGTTGGTGAGAGAGACCCCATTTTTTTGGATAAGGGGTGGGGGGCATTGAATGTATCTAGCCAAATGGAAATGTAGACTTTCAGAGCTAATAGATCCTTAGAGTCTAGGGGAAGTAACTGAGGCCCTGTGGGGAAAAGAATTTGGTTAAACCCAGTGGGTACTTGAGCAAGGATCAGAAAAGGGACCTCATAACCTTGATCTTGTGCTTTCCTCACTTTGCCATTGCTAAACAGTGTATCGAAGCCAAACTAATAAAAAATAAAAAAAAAAATCAATGACACCACAGTCATCTTGCTCCAGATCGTTTTCATGAACGCTATCGCAGTGACCTACCCGAAAAACCTGCAAGAGGCCGAGATAGGACAGCCACACTACCGCATTCAACCAATGAGGAAGCTGGCCCCGGGGTGTATGTAATACAGCCAAGGTCACTTGGCCCATTAGAGGCAGGGTCAGGCTGAGAACTCAGGCGGTACAGGGTCATTCCACCCAACTAGTGTTTACCAGGGGCGTCCACAGAATGCTAGCTTCTCAAGATTGTGAAGAGGTAAAAAAAAAAAAAAAAAGTTTCGGGAGATCAAACAGGTTTGGGACATGCTTGTTGAACAGTAAAAAGGTTCTTCTGTGTATGATTTTTTGGAGGCCCTAATACACTACGGGGCACCGTGACTAGCCCTGGGGTGTGGAGGCACCAAGACTGTTTCCCCCGTCTTGGTGAAGCAACCTCACCGGACCGGGTTCCTCAGATCGCTCTGTTTGGGAAAGCTGGGTGCACTGAGAGCAGGGGCCTGCAAACTTTTTTGCGTAGAGGACCTGATGGTAAATACTTTAGACTTTGTAGAACAAGCAGCCTCTGTCGCAGCTACGCAGCTCCGCCGACGTAGCACCAAAGCAACCAGGGGCAACACGTGAAGGAAGGACTCTGGCTGGGAGCCAACACGGTTTTACTTACAGAGACAGGTGTCAGGCTGGATCTGGCTCTAGAGCCATGATTTGCCAATCCCGATCCCTGAACTAAGCCACAAGAGCATACAAGACCTTCTGTTCCCGCTCTCGTGTCAAGGATCAGACCCCACTCTTCCTCATAAGCTTCCCTGCCTCCCCCTGACTACCCTTCTCGGGGACCTCTCCTTCCCCCCGAGTCCTGTAACACTTTCTCTTGGGGTCCAGCAGCTAGGGTGCCCGCCCGACTATCTCATCCTGGGGAAGGAGGGGACCCACCTGGCAAGGGTGTTGCCCAAGTGGCCGGAGTCAGGGGTGACTTCTGGAAGTAGAACCGGCTGCCACGTCAGGGTGCATTAGGGAAGCTGAGGCCTGCCAGGAGGAAGAGCCAGTACAAGTTCAAAGCGTCAGAGCAGAGCCAAGATTAGAGTCTCAGGGCCTACGGTTGGGAGCTGGGCAGAGATAAGATGTGAATCAAACTCTCCCCTGGAAGGAAATGGGGGCAGCCCAAGTCTTTACAGCTCTCCTTTATGGCCTAACTGGTGCCTGGAGTGGGGCAGGAGTCAAACAGACGAAGTAGACCAACTTGGGATTGTCCGTGATTTGTTTTTCATTTTCATTTTCTTTTTTTTTTTTTCATTTTCATTTTTTTATTTTTATTTTTCATTTTCTATCCCCAGCTAGCAGGCTAGTCGCATCACTGTCACACGGGGCAGGGGAAACATCCATCACTAGGTTGCAATGAGGGAAGTCTCCATGGAGATTTCTTTCTTTCTTTTTTTTTTTTTTGAAGGCTGGGGGAAAATTTTATTTTTTATTGGTGTTCAATTTGCCAACGTATAGAATAACACGCAGTGCTCATCCCATCAAGTGCCCCCCTCAGTGCCCGTCACCCAGTCACCCCACCCCCCGCCCACCTCCCCTTCCCCCACCCCTAGTGCGTTTCCCAGAGTGGAGTCTCTCATGTTCTGTCTCCCTCTCTGATATTTCCCACTCATTTTTTTCTCCTTTCCCCTTTATTCCCTGTCACTATTTTTTATATTCCCAAAATGAATGAGACCATATAATGTTTGTCCTTCTCCATGGAGATTTCTAATCCAAGATGCAGGGAGCACGGACTTTCTTGAGATCGAACAGATCCTCCCTGCAAGGGCGCAACTCTTCATGCTGCGGCTTCTTGCTTTAGCAGCTCCACACAGCAGCCCCTACCCTCGGTTTTCACATTGCATTGGACGCAGCATTTCCATCAGGCAGGTCTGATGATTCTCGCTTTACACGTGCAAACACTGAAGCCAGTTACGCTCCTAGGGAGAGGGCAAGCCAAGAACTGAACACAAAGCCGTCTACCTCCATGGTTAAATCCTTGACCCCCACACTGCCCTCTTCCTCCACACTTGGGTCTATGCCCTGGCATCTGATCAGGTCCTTTCCTGTTTAACGTTCTAGAGCCTTCTTTGTTTTCCTCTGTTACGCCTGTGTGTAGAAGGTTTTATAATCATTTCCAGTAACTTGTTTTCTTTGGTCACCCAACTGGCTTATTCCTATTCTGGCTAAATGAAGTATAAAAGTTCAGGGAGCTGGAACTGAGAGCTAAATATTTGGTCACTACCCCGAGGTCTCACCGGCCTTGTGCTAATAGAGCTCAGATCCTTAACTCCTTGCGAGGATATCTATCCATCGCAGGTGACCCGGGGCAAATGCTTGACCCCCTCCTCCCCCCAACTTGTCACTGTTCTCCACTAAGATTTTGGGGGGTTTCTTCCTCTCCTCCAGCGGCCAGTGTGGTCTGGGAAATTCAGAATCAGCTTAAAACCAGTTTCAGTCAGACACAAAGAGGAAAGTATTTCCATGGAATGATCTGTAAGGCACTTCAGCCAAGTAGACGTGAATCGTGGGATTATTTTCCACTGGGATGGATACTCCAGGGCTAAGAGCTTGACAAATGTTGAATGGAAATGGAGATTCGACACACAAGGAAATCTGGCCCTCTGGCAGGGTCCAGCACCACCAAGCTCTCCCCTCCCCAGTAAGGGATGCAACTTGGCTCTCGGGTGCTGGCCTTCTGGCGTGCTCCCTTCACTATCAGCAGGAGGATGAACGGTCACCCCGCTACCTGCTCTCCGAGGGGTCGGCTGAAGCCCAGCAGAGAGGCAGGAAGGGACGCTATGCCACACTTCTGGAAGCATGTAGAAATCAGGGGCACTGAGGCACGAGGCCAGTAGGGCCATTATTTCCCCGCCTGGTCCCATTTTATTGAAGACACACATTCCTTGGTTAGCGTCTGGCGTCTTCTGTGTTCCACCGTTTCTAACCTCTGTCCGAGTTCCCAACCTTTGCTTATTTGCTGACTTGATCTAGATCTATCAGCTCTGCTCTGAGTCTAGAAGGTCAAAAAAGGGCCACTTCTCTCCCTAATGTTGTAAATTCCTGCCTCCCCAACCCTGAGTATCTTAGCTAAGAGGAGGAGAGCCCGGACTACCATGACCAAAGGCATTTTCCAAGTTGCCCCGCAAGTGTAGACGTTGCACTTTGGACAAGAGAGTTCAGGGAGAGGACATCGGGGAGTTTTGCTTCTTCAGAGCCTGGCATTGGAAGGACAGACTGGTGAGTGAATGCAACGGGCCTAAACTCTTCATTTTGCCAGCACACTACACCACCTGTGCAGCGCAGACAACTCAAAATTAATCATGGTATACAGCACCAGAAAAAAGCGGATTGTACACCATTGCACAGATGGGAATGTTAAGGCTCCGACGGGCATGGGCTGCAGGGGATCTCCGAGGATATTTTTCCAGTGGCCGTCTGACAGGCAAACGGTGGGCTG